ATGTCTATGGTGTGCTTTGCTCAAAATACCAAACAGATCAGGCATTTTACTGATTTGAAGTTGGCGTGACGTTGAAGTCATGCTGCTGGACTCGGCTGTAGCTCCTTTATAGCATAACGTTAGCATTTAGCTTCTGGAGATTAGATTTATGATTAGAACATTATAAAAGTAGGGTAGACATGTGGAGATTATCCGGCTGAACAGAACGTGCATTTATCAAACAGGTTCGTTTTCCACAGATCTTATTTTCAGCTATTTTCCTAAATCCTCTGGAGAAATCCTGTTGCTTTTGTCGAACCCATGAGCAGTTTAATTCCGGGTCGGCCTACAAAAATACGTCATCCCTGCATCCCTAAATGTTGATAACAGCGCTCATACCAGGAGGCAGGAATCCCTCAGGGCCGGAGGGCAGGAAACCCTCAGAGGCCCAGTCCAGCATCAGCTTCAGCTCCTTCTCTTTGGTTCCTCCTTTTCCAGAGAAAGACTTCCCACAGCGCTCACCAGCCAGCTGCACAACACAAACATTATCTGAGTCAACACAACATTATCTGAGTCAACACAACACAGGTAGGTCGATTCAAACAGGAGAATAGTCAGAAAAAGCAGAAGGCATTGGTTACAGGTTAAGTAACAGATAAGAGTTACCAAGGGGAAGCGTACAAAGTAGTAATGACAATTGGTTAAACATATCTGATTTAGTACATTGCAAGCCCTCAGACGCTGTTTCTTGCAAACACTACAGGTGAATAGGGTAATTTTTTTAACTTAAAGATATCAGCGAGGCATTTCTCCAGTTAATTACTTACATTAAGGCAATTGTTTTTTGTATTACAAGTTTTCTGAAATAGCATGTTTGAATATGCAAATGAGCCATGCACTCATTAAATATGCGCATATTTTAATACATTTCAGGAACACAAATCTGAACATTGGATGAAACCAGGTTCGAAATTCTTGTTTCATTTTGTAGTCATATTAGAAGCTAACATTTTTACTGAAGGGATTTTGGATATCTCTTATTATCACTCCGTAAATCAGAAAATACTGTCAACAGCCCTAAAATATCAATTTTCGCCATGTTTTTAGGTATAAAATGTTATACAATTCCGGCTATGAATGATATATGAACAAACCCTACTGTCAAAACCTTCAGAATATTGATAGGAATATAACTGGAAGGTTTGGTGTATGTAAGGGCAACTGAAGTGGACATTTTGCTTACTTTTGATGAACCTGGGAGAAATCTACAGACGCAAATAGACAGACTAGTCAAATAAACACCTAAATGTGTATTTTGTAGATTTTCCCCCCAAAAGCCAGAAAGAAAACATGTTATGGAATCAAAATAGCGCGAAATCTCAAAATTGACCAGTGCATGAAAAACGAGGTTTTTGCCTGCCGTGTCTCGCCTTAAAAAAACAGCCGCAGTAAAAAGAGAACATTTACAGATATCCAAATCAATCTTGAGTAACAGGATGTGAGAGAAACAGATCATTCGACCCACTGTAAAGATTACAGCGACAGATATCATGTGGGGTCTTACCTCGATGATCTGGTAAATGGCTTCCTTGTAGACGGGCAGGCTGGCGTAGGAGTTTTTGCAGAAGCACTTATTGAAGGCACTGAAGACCATGAGACCCTCCGTGTAGCTCTGCAACAGGAAGCAAAGATGATGTGAAAACGCAATTCAACACATGTGGAGTTTTTCTTCACAAAGTGTTCAATCAATCAAATGTAACTCTGTGAGACATAGATAACATAAGACTTTATTTATCCTGAAGGAAATTGGTGTCCCAGAGTTATTAAGATACAATAAACACAGTATGGACATATTTTGTATGGACATGCTTTTATTTTGAAGGAGATTTAGAAATGTTGACAGGAAGTTGTTGTTGCTATGGAAACAACATAACGGAGATTAATGGAGAAAAAGTAATATCTACATATAAAGATGGAGAAAGTAAACGATAACGTTTATGGTTAAGTGTTAGCACCCCCCGAAGAGGCGCAAGCTCTTACGTTGATATTGGAGATTTCAATAAATAAAAACTAAAAAATAAAAACGAATATCCGAATAACGAAATTGAAACCCGGCGAATAGTACTCCAACGAACGAATATTCGAATATTCGGGTACAGCCCTACTACTTTTAAACACGAGTATCTGTACTTCTACTTCAGTGAAGGATGTGTGTACTTCTGCCATCTCGGCTCGTAGGTTTCAAAACCAAGAAAAGCGTTCTTCTTACCTCTGAGAACATCCCGTCTCCGAACCACTCGACCCTCCTCATCCCGGGAGGAGAGGTTTTACTTTTCCAGGGGGTCACCATCCCGGGCCACCAGGAGAAACCCTTCACTTTCCCCCAGATCAACTCCCCGCGCAGGAACCCCTTCCCATCCTGCAGGGACACAGTAACACAGTTAGTGTTGGGAAAGGGTAACATGATAACAAAGGTATCCCAACTGTAGCTCAAGCAAGGGAACAGTTTTCCTTCTAAATGTAATTTAAAAGACATGATTCGGTTTGATTCTTTACCGTGTAGACGTGTTTCCGGCGATTTCTTGGAGTGGGTTTACTGATCGGAGATGATTCTTCTGTCTGAGACTTTAAAAGATTAAAATAAGTGTCAAACATTTCAGTCAAACATTTTTAAAAAGTAGTTTAGGTGAGGAGGTTCTGCGTACTTACAAAATAAAAGCCATAACTGATGTTAGTTAGTTAGAAAATGCACCACAAATCATTGTGTTTGATATTACACTTCAGGTGTCATGGGGGAGAGAATTAGTTA